TTTTTGACTCTTATTCCCCTCTCCCTGAAATCTTCATTTCCTTAATGAAGAGAGCCTCTTTAGAGAGTACTTTACCCATTGATAGTTGGACGGCACTTACCTCAAGGTTGCCCACGGCGCACGAGTGATGCTGTTGGGGCACCTCTACCTTAGTGAGTCTGGCCAGACCCCGTTTTCTCTTTGCCATCCAGTAGTGAGCCGCCGTGCCTCGAGCCCCACGTTCGGGCACCACTTGACCCGTCCAGCAGGCCAGGTTATTCGAGGGTCTCGAGGAGGGACCACCTCAATGGGGGGTGAGAGGGAAAGGAGACCAAGCGCGTGAAGAAAGACAAAGTCAGTCTGAGTTGCATCAAGGTCTCAGTTTATTGACTGGTGTTAGAGCTTATAAACAGGGCTTCAGGTAGGGAGGGGGAGCAGGAGGAGTGAGGAGAGGACAAAGAAAATTCCTAAGGGAGGGTCAGCAGGAGGTCTCTTTGGTCCCAGGCCCTGCAGCTAGCTGATTTAGTATAGGCTCCAAGAAGTTTATTTAATCCTACATTCCTAGGTTATACTAAAAGCCTCCTATTTACACGAAGGTTAATTATAGATGATATTTTCCCTGTGTGAAAAGAGTTCAGCAAGACCTGGAAAATTGTCTTTTTTGTAAAACCTAGACACTAACAGAGCTCAAAGGCGAATCTTCATATTGACCCTCATGACACCCACAGACAAGGCATTTGGAATAACTCTGGTGAGATAATAAAATTAAATTAAAAGAGTGAAAAAAACTTACGGGAATTATAGGACAGATAAAACAACGACTACAGAAAAGAGAGAGTAATTAAGTAATTAAGGAAGAAAAGCTCATTCAAAGAAGTAGTATCTGGGATTGAGGACATAGATCACTGGTTAGAATGCTTGCCTAACTTCCCCAAAGCTCTATGTTGGTTGCGTGGCACTCGCAAATTAGGAGTAGTGGTGAACACCTGTGCTTGTGACACCATCTTTAAGTAATCTAGTAACTGAAAGCGTTTAAAATATAAAGAAGAAAACAAATATCTCAAAACATGAAATAAGATGACATAAAAATGTCCACAGCAAGATATTTCATAAACAAATTGTCAAACTTTACAAACAAAGGGAGTTCTATGACAACAAAGAACAATCATTACATGCAAATATCTGCAGTAGCTATAAGTGGCTTTCTCCATAGAAAGCTTTAAAAAGCAAAATGGGAGTGAGATGACTTCTTTAAGGTGATTAATGAAATGACTCTCAACCAAGAATACTAACTATACCTAGCAAAATTCTTCCAAAATAAAGAGACAAACACATCTCCAGGTAAATAAAAACTGAAATAAATCATGATCCCTCAGACTGCCATAAAAGAAATGCTAAACTTAAAATTGAAATAAAATGACAATAAGGGATATCTGAAAACATAGTAAAGAATGAACCTCATTGAGTTTCTAATCAGGGGGTTGTCACAGAGCTACCTCCAAATAGTACAGATATTGTCTTTGCTTGCAGTCATCCTCCAGAACTTTATGGTAAGACCTTATTGCTGAGGACACACACACTTTGAATAGAGAACATGGGAAAATACAGTTGATATTAACCGCCCCGCTGATATCTTTCATAGTACTGAAGGTGCTATGTAGGTTTCTTGGGGAAAAGGTCATTGACACTTACCCAGCTGAGAATCCAATAAGCAACAATAACAATGATCCTGGCAAGACATGTGCACATGTGGCATGAATATTATAGGTAACTGACTGCTTTCTGATTGGATTTAAGGCCCTCTCTATAGGAAAGATCCTGTGCCTGTTATTCTAAATCTGATAATGAACCTGCAGGCTGGAGAGATCATAGATTATATTGGAGAACATACTACTATTATTTTGCTAAATAGATAGTGTCAAACTACCTTGTAAACGTGTGTCTCTACAATCTTAGATTAGTATAACTGTCAGTCTTCATCAAAGAAGATACTTTGTGCAATGGCTGGTGGTTAATGTAGAGAACACATAGGGTTGAGGAGAAAGTACAACTGTAGAGTGCTCAGCTATAAATGGGGCACCACAACTGTCCCTGCAAGTCACTGGAAACATCATGGATGTGAAGGTGGAAAGACTGTAAGAGCCAGCAGTCAGGAGGCACTACTATGAAGCAGTGTAGCATGGACAGGACAGGACCACTGCATGCATGAACTCATAGTAGCTATGGCAATCACAGATTGTCTGCAGAAGACCAACTGAAAATTAAGCTAGTAAACATTCAGTGTGAAGGAAGAGGGACTCATGTGCCTCCACATCTAACAGAAGAGATATTGACAGTTGCTGTCTGATAGAGGAGGGAGAGTCATTTATATTTAGGGATGTGACCTTGGGAGGTTGTCCATGCTTCAATACATGGATCCACACTTGTGTACATTTGATCAACCCTATTTAGATTCAGCAGGCTATAAAAAACGAGAGAGAAAGGACATGAAGTAGGGATCTGGGATGCATTTCAGAATAGGTATGGAGAATGACGCAGTTCAAAATACATTGTATGATATTCTCAAAAACTAAATAAAATACTATATAAAATTTGAATATGATTTTACTATTATGTTAATTCACTTTAATTTTAGTATAAAAGCAATACAGAAATATTAAAATAATAATGAATAAAGCACATTCAAAGCCATATAATATGAAGAAATATAAAATGAGAAAATATTATAAAGAAAGGGATGTAAAATAAAAGTGCAGAATTTTTGTATGTGAATGATTCTAAGTTGTTACCAGCTTCAAATTAACTGTCATATCTAGAAGAAAAAGTAGGCATTTAAAGGGAGATGCAGCGTGGGTAAGAGCCTGTACTGCTCTTACAGATGGAGAGAATTCAGTTTCCAGAACCCATGTCAGGCAGTATAACTCCACTTACAGGTGATCCAATACCTGCTTCTGACCTCTCAGGATAGTGCACTCAAAAGCACAAGCCAATAAATTTTTTTTAAAAATTATTTTTAAAAAAAGGGGCTGGAGGGATGGCTCAGAGGTTAAGAGCACTGACTACTCTTCCAGAGGTCCTGAGTTCAATTCCCAGCAACCACATGGTGGCTCACAACCATCTGTAATGAGATCTGGTACCATCTTCTGTATACATAATAAATAATTATAAATCTTTTAAAAATTACTTTAAAAAAGCACAAGCCTACACACAGAAACACAAATATTTACATAAGAAGAATAAAAATAATCTTAAGATTTCCATCATTAAAAAGGATTTCAAAACAAAATGTCAAGACCAAAGTGGAACACAAAGAAAGAAAAAAAAAACAATTTTATGACTGGCAGAAAAACACTAACAAAAATATTATGGATTTTTTTTGCAGTCAGTAATTACTTTAAATTCAAAAGCATTAAACTCCTCATTTGACACATAAATTGAACAAATAATGAAACTCACTCCAGGTTCATGGAGACAGAGGTTTAAAGTAGAGAGATAAAAAGATAGTTCATATGAATAATAATCAAAATAGAGCAGAGGGAAATATCTTTGTATCAGACAGAATAGATTTTTAGTTCAAAACTTGTACAAGAAAGGATAATATTTTAAAATGATGAAAGTATTTTTATTCCTTTTCTCTTCAAACTACCTTACAAAATCAAGTTAAAGCAGTTCATTTCAATCAGGATGAATATTTTTTAAAAACTGAATGAGAGCTGGGGGAGTATATAGGAAGCTTTAGAGGGAGGAAAGGGAAAGAAGAAATGTAGTAATAATGGCAAAATAATAAAATGACAAATTTCTAATAAGAAAATAAGATTTTGTATCTTTACTTACAATGGTGACTGAGTGTTTACTTATTTACTTATTTATTCATCATTTAGTTATTATGTTCATGATTTTGCCTTTTTTTGAGGCAGGTCTTAAGTTAGCCCAGACTGCCATGGAATTCATTATGAATATCAGATTGCCTTCTAATGATCCTCTTATTTGCAGCCTAGTGAGTATTGAGATCCTAGGCATGAACTACCACACCAGAATTAACTGCCTCATTTTTGTTTCTTTTTACTTTCTGTTTAAATTATCATTATGATTATGACTCTCATTAGATTGAATAGAAGATTTAAAATTAAAGAATATTAATATGTGATTAATATATCAAATGAATTTAGCTGAATTGGGGCATCATAGGCACTAGATCAACTTATATGTAATAAAACCAAAATATATCTAGTGGTTTACCAATGTAAATCATGGTTTATTTCTCTTTTCCTAGCATATTTATCAATAATTCTTCACTCATTTTCTAATTGTGTCTTTATTTGGATGACAAATTATGTTCACTACTACATTAACTCAGTAAATTTAAAATCCAAAAACTCCAGTAGAATTTTCAAAGTAGTTCAAATCAATTAGGAAAAACAAACAAATCAAATGAAACAAAACAAAAAACCCAACAAGGTAGATTGATGGAGGTATAAAGGCAAAAAGAATATCTATTTCTAGATAGGTGCCATGGGATAAGTTAGACATCAGAACTAAAGATCTCTTAAGACTACTTGGATGGCATATTCATCTATTAAGCACTGGAAAGCATTTGTTGGTACAATTTCTATGATAGTGTTCTATTAGAAGTCTTAAATTTCTCAAATGCCCAGCTACTCATTAAATTCGGTTCACTTTGTTCTTGCTCGACTGCTAGCCTAATGATCAGTACGTGCTCATGGCAAGTCAATTGAATTGCCTCAGTGCATAACAAGGGCAAAGATAGGCACAGTGTTCCTTCCTTTAAATTACAGGACATTTTAATACTTTATCTGTAGAAAAGAATGTTTAAAACTGGTAAATACCTACTTATATTATGTTTTACTTGTTAAGGAGTTTACAGAGATGCTGTATGCTAAGAAGCAATTTTAAAATTTTACTTAGAAATACTGAAACTTTCTGGGACTGTGAGTTACCTGTATGGATATTTATTATAACTATGTTAACAGAAGTAAAATGAGGTTGACTTAAGGTATAGACAAGACAGTGACATTTTTTTGTATGTTTGTGTGTGTGTGTTTGTTGCTCCTTGTTTTGATTTAGGTATGAATTATCCCACAATTCTCATGTGTTGAAGACCTAATGCCTCACTGGTAGATTAAATCACTGAGAGGTACTTATCTATTCAACAGATTAATCCACTGATGGATTCATAATTTGATGGCATATTGAGAGGTGATGGGAACTTTTAGGTATGGAGCCTATTAGAAGTAAATCACTGAGGATATATCTTTATTGGCTGTATAATCTCCTTGAACCCTC